AAGGCAGTGTAGAGCAGGCTACCTTTTGGAAGGTTATGCCAACAGCCAGGTCCTCCACCAAGCTATACAGGCTTCAATTATAAATGTACTTTTGTCAGCACAGCTAGGTTGCTCAGTGGATAGAGCACCAGGCATGAAGTCATGGAGACCTGAGTTCAAATCAAGCCTCAGATACTTATTAGCTGTGTGACACCCTGGGCAAATAACTTCACCCTGTTTGTCTCAGTTTCCTCATCTATAAAACAAGCTAGAGAAGGAAATGGAAAAACCACCCCAGCATTTTTGCCAAGAAAACTCCAAATGGGGTGACAAAGAGTCAGACATGACTGAAACAACTGAACAACAATAACAATACTTTTGTCAGCAGGGGACTAACCTTGCCCAAGGGAGAGTGGGGCTCATGATCCCTTAATTGCAAACTGATTAAACTTTTAGCCACAGCAAATCCAGAAGACTGCCAACTGAGGGAGGAGCCAACTGGTGGCTCGTGCTGAGGCTGGGGTCGACTGGTGGGGCTTTGCTCTACTGCACAGACTGCTCACTTGCCTGACATGGGATTTGAACCCAGGCTCAGAGCTCTATCCACTGTACCACCTATCTGCCTTTAGGTCCTTGTGGATGTTATTTTCTTGGTTCTGATGACTTTGCTAATTTGCATAATGCAGTAGTAGTAATAAACTGATATTTATACAAGCACTTTAAAGACATTATTTCTTAGTAGAGGTTTTACTATGCATCACTGGGACTCCCGAAGCATCAAAGTAGAGACTAAGTGCTCTAGGAGCTTGAAGGAGATCAATGAGGGCAAAGGTCCATCCTCGCTTCCATTCACAGGAGTATCTTGTTGCCTCCTACCTCATTTTGTATTTTTGTCTTCCTCAGTTCAGTGGGGGATGGTCAGATGCATGATCTTCTATCGCTTATCTACACACAGTACACTGTGTATGATGACATATAACACACATGGTATAAAAAGGCCTTTCCTGAGCCGCCAGTAAAGAGAGTGGAGTTATCAGTACATCCTCTATCTTGAAATTACGTTACAACTTAGTAAAGAGCTTTGTATTTACATGTTCACATGTTGTATGTCTCTAGTATAATATAAGTTGCTTGAGAGCAAGGTTTTTTTATCTTTATAACCTTGGTGCCTAGCATAGTGCCTGGCACATTTTGTTGCTGTTGCTGAGTTGTTTTCAATTGTGTCCAACTCTTCATGATCCCCTTTGGGGTTTTCTTGGTAAAGATACTGGAGTGGCTTGCCATTCCTTCTCTGGCTCATTTTATAGATGAGAAAACTGAGGCCAACAGGGTTAAATGACTTGCCCAGGATCACACAGCTGGTAAGTGTTTGAAGCCAGATCTAAACTCAGAAAGATGAATCTTCCTGATTCCTGGCCCAGCATTCTATTTGCTGTGCCACCTGACTGCCCATTGCAGTAGCTTGGCACATAGTACGCACTTAATAAATGTTGAATGATTGATTTCCTTCCTACACAATTGGCACTTAATAAATGTCTGTTACATACATGGTCTCTGAAATCAGGTTCAAAGTCAGGCTGTCTGTCTATCGCTTTTTATAAACTCACAGCTTACTTCAACAATTAAACACACAGCATTCTGCTGGTTGTGTTAAAGAATCTGAGCCAAATGCTGGAATGCCCTTCTCATTTTTCCTTCAGCGATTCAGAATATGCCTAACATGGGAGAGAAGCCTCTAAATTAGCATCAGTTTTTCTTTGGCTCAGGTTTTTCTTTTATTCTGATCTAGAATATTCTTAGCAGGGTATATTATGCATTCTTCTTTCTTCCATCACATACTGGTTATAAATATAGAACGATGAGTATCCCAAGATGAGCAGAGTTAAAATCACCAATTAAATTCCAAACATATACCTGAACTTAATGGAACTTCAACCCTCTCCCCCACCCCCAGGAGAGCATGCCTTAACATAGTCAGACAGTATCAGTAACATTGGGCTACCAAGAACAAAGGATATTTTGTGGGAGTAAGTGCTGAGCTGTAATCTTTTTTTCTGTGATTGCACCTCATTTTATAACAATGTTCAGACATTTGGTTTGAGCAAGTATAGTAATTACATTTCTCACTTTAAACTAATTTAAGCAGCCACATCTGATATCCTTCGAGAAGTCCTCAAGGCTCATAAGCCTTCAGCCTTTCTCCTCCCACCCAATACACACATTTTAGGGGACCTGCTGTTTACTCTTAAGTGAATGTGTCCTTTTTTTCTTAGGTTCCCGGTCCTAAGTCTACAAATTGACCCTTTTAAAAATGGAAGAAAAAGCTTGCCTCCCTTCTTTCCCTTTTATTCAACAAGGAGAGGTCCTAAGAAACAGAAAAGAGAAACTTGAATTTGCCCTCTTCTGGGAGGGCAAATCACTTCAGGCTCAATTTTTTTCATTCACAAAATAAGGGAGCTGGACTAATTCAAACACAAAAATTCCCTAGTGAGAGGGGAAAAGTTATTGAGTGATGACATCCTAAATAAGGAATCCTAGAAAGACACTTAAGCCAGACTGAAAATTCACATTGTGTCCCACTAAAAAATCTTGATCTATTCTTACGAAACCTATAGCTCAGCTGTCTCCATTTCCCATTCTTCTGCTTTCTTCCACAAAGCAGCCATTATTCAAGAATAAAGTGTGGAATGTGTAAAAAATAGCAAAAAGAAAACAAAAGCAAAAGGTTTGTTTTGCTAAGTATTATCTGAAGCCTCAATAGATACTTGGATATACAATGACAAATTCTTTATGATTGCAAAGTCCTTTGAAAAAAATCAAAGGTCATATGTGTATCACAGGCACATATGATGTATAAAGATGCCAAAGGTTATCTTTACACTGCATGGACTGTAGCCTAATTCAATATTTGTACCCTTTGTGAGCCACACCTCAGGATGACTGGGCATTCTACCTCATTAGAAGTGTCTAAATTAATCAAGTACTTATTTTAATGTAAAAAGAATAGAAAGTAGACAAGAATTATGTATCTCCTACTTTTCCTGATACCACATACCACTGTTTCTTCCTTCTTTCGGGCAGTCTCATTACCTTATTAAACATGGAAAAGACATGGAGCAGAAACAGTTAATTCTGAGATCTCCTTTCAGGACCTCAGGGCAGGCTGAGTTAACTTGTTCTACTAGAACGGTCAATAAAGGTATCCTTCACTTCCTTGGAGATAAGAGTAAATTAGGCCTGAAGCACTGAATTTCATTCATCAAGCTACATACATAGGCTATGGTTCTAAAGTTACTCACATAACTATAGACAATGAAAAGTTTGGACTTTTAAAAAAATAGAGGTATTTCCAGGTCCCTTTATTGACTATGCTATTCTTTGACTTAAGGAATCTCTGAGGTTGTGAGCAATGGTGTTAAAGGACTAAAATCAACAAACCCAAAACAATCTCTTTATAGACTTAAGACAGCTATACATAATACCTCAGGGAAGAAGTATTAATATTTATGCTTTAAATTGAGAGAAATATATATTAGAGGGGGAATCTATTCAATTACTAACACGGCTGGACCATCTTAATTTCATTACCAAGTATATATTCCCTTTACAAAATAACAGCATAAGGGTTCTCATTTTTTACGAAGCAAATATAGAAGGGTTGCCTGCTTTATGTAATCAACGGGTATATTCCTAAAAAGTTGCATGTAAATCACATTTGGGTAAAGCAAATAGTCAACAGTATGGGATGGATGAAGGGAACTGGGTTTTATTACAAAAACTCTTACAGCCAATTCTTTTTATAAAGTGACTGGTCACCCTCTAATTTATCTATTCTATATAGCTAAATTATGGTATCTGGTTTCCTTACAGCATGGTATAACTTTATTTTTTTGGCTAGGTAACAAAGAGCATAATACAGCCAAGTTTTAAAAAATCAGAAACTCTCATTTTTAAAATAAAGGAGTGAAGCCACCATAACATGTCTTTTCTCCTAATGGATTTTAAAAATAATATAGAGTCCATCTTCAGTGTTCCTATGTTTAACTTTCTGGACTTTGATTTTGTTGGTAACCTCGTTTTCACTTTCAGTGAACATTTGGGGTATATTGACAATCTCAAAATCTTCTGACAACAATGACTAAAGTCCCAGCAACCTCTCCCTTGGTTTTCAGAAGGTAGCCAAGGTAGTTCAGAGGGTGGCCAAGGTGGAGAGGTTTCCAGCAGTATACAGCACAATGCGCTCACACCACCATCTGACACAGTAGAAGTAAGATTCAGGTTAAAAATGTTTTAGTTTTAAGAATTTCATTTGCTGTACAGTATTTATGGTATTGTAGATTTCATGTGTTATGAAAAGTGAATATTGTCTGAAATAAATTTTTTAATTGAGATGTTAGCACAAAAGATCACAGAATTCTAGAGAATTATTAGTGAGAAAAATGTTTTGCAAGTTACCAATTTTATTTTGTGTACTGCATTTTACAGGTTATTTCATGATTACTATGTTAGAAAAAGTACATATGATCAAAATTGATGTTTTGTTATAAAGAATTGTATCCAGAAAAATATATTTTCTGCAGGTTCTAATGAAAGATTGCAGTTTTTAGTGGTCATAGGAACCTAAACCCTATTTCCCACAGGTTCAAAGTATCAACATTCCTGCTTCTGGCTTTGATGCCATTTTCTAGCAACATTACTTACCCCTGCAAAAGTTGAGGACTGATTATACATAGAAGCACTGGGAGGTATGAACATATTACATGTTCATTATAGCGATATATCAATTAACAGTATTCATTATTTAATAGAGAGGTACTAAAAGATATTCCAAAAAAGGCCAGAGAACAGTCTGCAAACAACATGCCAGAGAGTTTTGCTTTGATTCCTGGGAAAATAATAGAATGGATAATTAAAGAGGGGGTTGGTGAACATCTAGAGTGGGAAACAGTAATTACAAAAGAGTCAATGGTTTCATCAAGAGCAGGTCAAGCTAGACTAACCTCATTTCCTTTTTTTGATAGTATGAGAAGAATGCTGTACACAGAGTTTACATCAATTTTAGAAAAGCCTTTGACAAAGTATCTCATACTATTGTCACAAAGATGATGGAGACGTGTGAACCAGAAAAGAATACAATTACTTGGATTTATAACTGGTTGTAAGGTGCAACTCAAAGAGTAGTCATTAAAAGTTCAGAGTGTTAATATGTTCATTATTATGTCAGTGTGAGGGAGGTCTTCAGGGTCATATGCAGGGATCTATTTTATCTGCTGTAACATTTTGATCGATGGCTTGGATAAAGGCATAGATAAATAGCACACTCATCAAATTTGCAGATGACATGAAGTGCACAGGATGATAAGAGTCAAGATCCAAAACATTCCCGACATGCTAGAGCAGCAGTTCTCCAGTTAGAATATCCTAAAGGAAGCTGGTGATATGGGAATGGAGCTCAGACCCAGACTAAGTAGATCTAAGACTCAGATGATAATTGAATCCATGGAAACTGATAAGATGACCTAGCAAGATGAAAGAGAAGAAAAGAGGAGGAGCCAGGACAGAGCCTTGGGGGACACCCAAAATTAGTGGGCATGACCTGAATGAGGTCCAGCAAAGGAGAGTGAGAAGGTGAGGTCAATCAGGTAGGAAGAAAACCAGGAGAAAACAGCGTCATTGTTTTCTCTCCAGTAGAGGCTGGACTAGAAGGCCATTGACATTCCTTTAAAATCTCAAATTCTATGCTTCTGACACATTAATGCTGTGTTTTGGGTCAGGATCCATGGCTCTGACTTTTTTTTTTAAACCTTTCTGGGATTCAGTTTTCTCATTTGAAAAATAAAGAGATTGGATTAGATGACCTCTAAGGTAAAAAGGATTAGAGAATAAGAATTGAGATTGATCTTTGATGCTTTGTAGTCCGAGGGCTCTAAATTCTTTTGTGTGTCATTGACCTGTTAGGTATTCTGATGAAGCCCTCTCAGAAAGTTTTTAAATTTGTAAAGTAAAATACATAGGATTACAAAGAAAATCACTTATATTGAAAAATGCAGTTATAGAAAGAAAGAAGGAAAGAGAGAGAAAGAGAGAGAGAGAGAGAGAAAGAAAGAAAGAAGAAAGAAGAAAGAAAGAAAGAAAGAAAGAAAGAAAGAAAGAAAGAAACAAGAGCACAGAATCTACATTAAGAACCCTGATGAGAATCCCCTCTACAATGCATCTGACAAATAGCTACCATTGTAAAAGCACTGTGGTAGATATGAATGTTGAGCTAGATTCAGTTAGACCTGGGTTCTAATCTCACCTCTGATTCCTACTGTGTAACTGTGAGCCAGTCACTTCTCTGAGTATCACATTATCTCTGATTATTATATCAGAATATTCTCTGAGTATCTTCCTTTGGAAAATGAAGATAACAATGCCCATAGTATCTATCTTAGAGCACTTTTTTTTAAACTGAGATTCAAATGAGAACAAATGTGAAGTGTTTTGCAAACATTAAATATAAATAAAAAATAAATATAAATATTACCATATAAATGGCAGTAACAATAATAGTTATTATTGTTATACCAAATACCCTCAAATTCTTTCTGCTGATTCATTTTTTTCAAATTCATTTCATTCAAATCTTTGATTCATTTTAGTAGGCTCTAGCTATTGGCAAAATTATTCTAATTTTTTACATTGAAAGAAGGAAAGCCTTTTGGGAACTGTCTGAAATAATACTCTCCATGCTGAGATTATGTGTTAAGGTAAGATTTGTGCTATTATTTCTGTCATGACCAAAAGAATACATTTTAGAGGAAAGCAAAAATGAGAAAAAAGTAGCACTGATAACAGGAAGGGAGACAAGAGAAGCAAAGGTACAAAAATGTTATCATGGTCCCCAGGGCAGTTTCCCAAACGGAGAGCCCCCTCTGTCAAATTCCATTGCCTCTTGTTAAGATTTTCTGCTACTGCTGTCCTCTTGGTCATCAGGAGGGTATTCCCCACCTCTCAAGACTAGACTTGTATTATTTCTGGTCTTTCCCCTTACTTCTCGGAGTCCTTCATTTCCCACAGTTCCACTCCAGTTGTTTACTGTACCCAAAGACAATAAACTTACTTTTAACTATTTAAAAGGACACAAACTGGATTAATATAGTTTTAATATAGCTTCAGGGAATGACAGGCATGAAATACAAATATATGTGTGTATATATATCCATATACACACATACACAAACATACGTATGTATCAAAATTTGTAGGTTGAATCACCTTACTCAACTCAATCTGACTCAGCTTAAGGCATTTATTGGGCTCTTTTCAGGTACTTCTTGTTCCACACCCAGAGATAGGCCGGTTCTTCCTGTAACCTAATCCTTTGGGTCACCAAGGATCCTTGCTAGTTCACTCTTCCACTCCCTAGGCCAAGGCTGAGATATTTTTTCAACTTCCTTAGTCAAAGAAGAAGCAAGATCCTTTTTTGGTGGTTCCACACTTCAAAAGATTCCTAAATGCCTTCATAATTACTACAAGTGTTGTCTTTATTGTTATCTTACCTTTATTCACATAAAGCTTTATAGCTTTATTATTTTACAGTCATTTACATGAAGCTTTAAAGTTTAAACGGTTCTTTCTTCCAAACAAGGTAGTTAGGTAATTAATTAGCACAAGTGCTATCATCCTTATTTTACGGAATAAGAAAATCTGTGGAATTTTCTAAGCCTTGATGGCAGTGGTGAAGAAAGTGCTTTATAAATCATAAAAGCACCCCAAAAAGTGTGAGCAGCCATTACTACCAAGCCCTGCAGTAATCATGCCCCTCACAATCAAATGCTTATGTCAATTTGCACAAATTCTACTTAGCAATTATGGTTTTCCTGTGATAGAATGCAACCCTTGCCAATATTCCCAAATGAAAACTACTTTTTAACTCTAGGTATTGACCATATCCCTAAAATAATTTCCAGGAACAGAGTAATGCATTGTGGGATTAAATGATTTACAGCATTATTCCTAACAAAAAATTGTGCCCCTGAAGTGATATTAAGAGACACCATCCAAGAATACAACAGGCTGATCATGGAGTAAGCATGATGGAGAACAGATGAGAACCTGCTGCCCCCATGTTATAGCAGGAGACTCAATCATGTTGGGTGGATCTTCTGTGGAAGATTACAGCGGGGCAAAGATGGGGCCCTTGGCACAGTATGAGCAGATATGGACAGAGTATGATGCATAAGCATATACTAGCAATCGTGTACCCATCAAAATATCAAAGGAAGGAAATTTGAGTTTATAACTAAATATAAAGTCAATACCTTAAGTCTCACCCTTCTTTCATCCCTATCTTTCACATGGCTGCCAAAGTGATATCTAACACACAGGTCTGATCGTGTCACTCCTCTGATCAATGGACTCCAGTGGCTTCTTCTAATCTCTAGGATCAACTAAAAACTGCCCTGACAGCATTTAAAGCCTTCTACAAGTTGGCTCCAACCTTACTAAATATTACTTATCATTCATACACTGTACAATCCTTTCAAACTGGCCTTCTTATTGGTATTCACAAATTACACTCCAATCTCCCATCTGGAGGACTCTGCATTGCCTTCACTCATGGCATGTCCCACCCTACTCCCATCTCCACCTCCACCTTTTAGAATCCTAGTTTTCTTCAAAGCCAAGTTAAGCACTACCTTTGCAAGAAGCCTTTCCTGACTCCCCAAGCTCCTAATGCCTGCTTTCCCCAAACAGTCCTTTACTTATTCTGTCTATTCTTATATACATAATTCTTTCTCAATTGAATGTAAGCTCTAAGAGGGCAGGAACTATTCAAGTGTTTTCTTTGTAGTCCTAGAACCCAGCAGGGTACCAGGGATATAACAGTCATTTAAAAATTGAATGCTCTTTAAAATCTAAGGCAGAGTAAGCTGGAGCTCCAGTGTCTGCTTAAGTATCAGTGAGTGATTTCCAGCCAGCATAGGTTATTTATTCTGACTTGTGTCTACTGAAAACCCAACAATGAAGATTGCTCCTGCTCTGCTGGTCCTGTTAACTGAAGAGGCACCTAAGAAATTGGACAAGCTCTTCTTATCCAGGGCTCATGCCTGTACTCTGTACCCAGGCACAGCAGATAACCAAAGAAAAGAAGTAGCTAGAGGCCCCAAAAGTCTCACTGAAAGAGATCCCCAGTCCAACTTTGGTCTAACTCCCTTATTTCAAATGGTCCCCACAGATTCCAGTCTATGAGGCAGAGGGTGGGCTGCTCAACAATCAAATGTCATGTTACATCATTTGGTATTATTAAATAGAACTCATATTATGACATGACAAACCACACTTTAGCAAACTGTACTTTTACCTGCTATTTGAAATGCTTCATGGTTATAATAGGGAACAAAAGTTGAAGATAAAGTATCTACCTTAAGAACTCAATTTCCTTAGCTTAACTGGCTTATGAAATCAGTGTTAATAGGTTCCTTATTGAAGTACCTTTTAAAAATAAAGGATAATTCTTCATACACATCCAAGGGATTTGACCTTTGGCTATTATGACTTATAGGGTAAATATGTGTTTTATAGGACTTCATAAAATGCAGATTACGTAAATACATTCAGGAACTTATAATACATGAATTGGCTTGAGTAATGGATTAGAAATGGCTTGCAGGAGGACTAAATAATCCGTATTAGAAACTGCACATTCGAAATAGCACAATATTTTAAAGTTATGACCTCTACGTTGACTCATGCCTCACCCCTCAAAAACAAATTATGATGTGTGTACTATACAGAGCTTGAAAAACAAAGATTTCACAACAGACTCCCCAGGGGCCCTCCACTGATCGGTAAAGTGGCCCTTCTGAAGTCAGAGGACACTTCCTTGCTTTTCCATATCCTCCCTTTTCACCAATACCTAGGAGAACAACTGACCAGAAGTCAGTTTTAATCTTAGGCAGAATGTTTGTCAAAATGAACTTTAATGTTTGTTCCAACTCTGATGTTCTATGTTTCTATGAGCGTGCACCAGGAATTCCACAGGAATGCCGTGGCTTACTGGTAACAGCACTGGATTGATATAAGAGTTCTGCCTCTTACTAGCTATATAATCTTGGGCAAGTCATTTAATCCTGTCTCAGTTGCCTCCCTTATAAAATAGGGATAA